TCCATGGCAAAACTCTTCTGTAGTTTTCACTTACACATGCTATTACCCTACTACTACTACTACTAGTGGCTACCATTTTCTACACTTTCAATTTACTTTTTATATATTTTCCCTTTTCAAATTTATAATTAATTTATTTTTAGTTGAGCTACTACGTGAACAAATAATAAACCAGTTGGGTAAATAACACTTAACCCCTTTGTAGTTCGACTATTTTGCACATTACTTCCTTTTTTTTCAATATAAAACACATTACATTCTTATGCGTTTACGGTTTAATATAAGCACATAAACTATTTCTGGTATTCCAGTTAGCAAATAATCGAGTTCAGTAGGTGGAGAAAAGTTTTGAATGTACAAGGGATGTTATCTGCTTACATTAAAGTACAAACAGGTCACATATGCTTATATTGAAATTACAAGGAGTCACGGACAAATGCTCAAACCATAGGGGAGGTAAGTGATATTTGTCCTGGATACACGGAATTTATTATGCTAGAACATAATAATGAAAATATACACCAAAGAGGTGATCTATTTGGTAAAGCAACCGAGCGAATTGTCAGTTGAGTCAGGTTCAAAACCTTTTCCAACACGTTATAAGACGAATTCGTCACACATAATTAGTCTAGTGTAATTTACATAAAACAGAAAATCCGACCAAAGACCAAAAAGAAAAAAAAAAACTGAATTTAAAATATGTTTAGATGAGGAACCTCTTATTTAATATGATCTTAATCCAAAAGTACCGAAGAGTACGAACCAGTTTGGTTTGGAAGTGTTTGGTGCGTTCTGTTTGTTGGATTATGATTCCATAAAAAAAAAAAAAAAAAAAAAAAAAAAGAAAAAAAAAAGAAAAAGACAGAATAGTTTCCTCAGAATTCCATGTGAAAGCTTTTAATACCATGTACAATATCAAACAGCCAAGCATTAAAGTGCACAAGCAATTCTAAGTTTATTCGACGCTGCATCCGATAAAATATATCGAGTGATTTTGCACTACAGATCTACCAGGAGCCAATCGTATGTAACCGAACTAGAAGATAAAAGTTCATTTTTTTTCCCATAAATACGGGCTGATAGAAAAAGTTAGTGAACTAACCAGACACCGAAAAAAGGGTTGTTAGTATTTAATCAATTATCTAATCGTACGAACAAAACGAGGCCTAATGAAATGTTTTGAACTTCGAAGATTGACATATATACCCTTGAATCAAAAAGACATTATCATCAAGAAAATTTGCAAGTTGAGGTAGCCCAAACTGGGGGGCTGCCCCCCATGTGGTCCTTTAATTGAAAGCCCCACTTTCGATGGATCACCACTCGAAGTATAGCCCCCCCAGAGAGAGAGAGAGAGAGAGAGAGAGAGAGAGAGAGAGAGAGAGAGAGAGAGAGAGAGAGAGAGTTATATCT